TTCGTATGGTAATCGTATGGCTGTCTTATGGTAGTCGTATGGTTTTCGCATGGTAATCGCATGGCCATGCTATGGTAATCGCACGGTTCTCTTATGGGCACGGCATGGCTGTCTTATGGTAATCGTGTGGTTGTCTCATGGTGACCCAATTGTTTTCTCATGGTAATCGTGTTGCTTTCTTGTGGTAATCGTGTGGCTGTCGTATGGTACTCCCATGGTTGTCCCATGGTGCCCGTAAGGTGTTCTTATGATAGCCGCATGGTTTTTATGGTAACGATATGGTTGTCCCATTGTAATCACATGGTTTCCTTCTGGAAGTCGTATGGTTTTCTTCTGGTAGTCGTACGGTTTTACTTAGGTAATCGTATTTATTAATCTGATAATCGCATGGCTGTCGTATGGCAATCGTACGGTTTTCCGGTGGTGATCGCATGGTCTTCTCATGGTCATGGTATGGCTTTCTTCTGGTACTCGCACGGCTTTCTTATGGTATTCGTATGGTTGTCGTATGGTAATCGTACGGTTGCCTTATGGTAATCGTATCGTGTTATGAAGGTAAGCGTGCGACGTTCTTGGTAATTCTACGGCTTTCTCATGGTCATGGTCTGGTTTTCTTATGGTAGTCGTATGGCTTTCTTGTGACACTCGTATGGTTTCTTTTGGTATTCGCATGGCTTTCTTATGGTAGCCGTATGGCTCTCTTATGGTAATCGTATGGCTTTCCTGGGGTAACCGTATGGTTTTCGTGTGGTAGCTGTATGGTTTTCTTATTGTAATCACATGGTTTTCTTATTGTGTTCGCATGGTTTTCTCATGGGCATCGCATGGTTTTTTAATTATAATCGGCGGGAGGGTGGTGGGGATTCCGGGCGGCGGCTCTCCCAGCCAGAATCCCCACCACCCGCCCTTCCTCTCTTCCAACAGATAAATTGGGCAAATAGAATAAGGTAATCCTTCGAAGAAGCAGTGGTAGTAGTAGTCGTAGTAGAAGTGGTAGTAGTAGGAGTAGTAGTAGTAGTAGTAATAATAATAATACTAGTAATACGAGTAGTAGTAGTAGTCGTAGTAGTAGTAGTAGTAACACTAGTAGTAGTAGTCGTAGTAGTAGTAGTAGTAGTAGTAGTAGTAGTAGTAGTAGTAGTAGTAGTAATCGTAGTAGTAGTAGTAGTAGTAGTAGGAGGAGGAGGAGGAAGAGGAGTAATAGCAGCAGTAGTAATAGTAATCAAAGTAGTCTCAGCGGTAGCAGCGATAGAAGAAGCAGCGGTAGCAGCGGAAGTGGGCGAGGCATCCCTCACTGGGCATTAGAACATGTTTCAGAACCCTTGCAGAAAAGCTGTCTAGGCCACCACCCTCGACCGTCGGCACTTCGAGCTTCAACAGGCGCTGGGGGTCCACCACTCCCCATATCCAGATCAACCCACAGCCCGCTCCTGATACAGTCAACGCGCAAAGTGAGGACGCGCGAATTTTCTGGGGCACCAGTGTGTCCTTGCATCTGCGGCCCCATGCGGGTCAGGGTGCCCTTGCGTCCCTGGAGTTTGTTTGTCGACCGCCGCCCCCCAAAAAAAACCCAACCTCGGCATCCAGGAGCCTTGCGTCCTTACCACCTGCCTTTACTATACGTTTTCATTGTATCTTCCGTTTTCAGACGCGCGCGCGCGACGCCCCAGCGAGGCGGAGAAGGAGGAGGAGGAGAAGGAGGAAGAGGAGGAGGAGGAGGAGAGGAGGAGGAGAGGAGGAGGAGGAGGAGCAGGAGGAGGAGGAGGAGCAAGGAGCAGCGACGGGCCCCAGGACAGGGGCGCACCCCTCGCGGGCGGTGGCCGAGGATCGAAGATTCTCCAGACCACCCTGAGTTGTTGGGCCCTCGTTCTCGAGAGACGGCACCCTGCTCTCCACCTCACTCACTCACTCACTCCCGCCCCCTGCCTCCTCCCATCCCTGCCTCGGCTCTCCGCAGGTCCGTTTCGGCATGCCCCTCACGCGTTTCGTGGCCCCACGGGGAGCTCTGCGGAGGGCCCCGGTAAGAGAGTCCGCATGGCGACACCACTCCTATTTCGGCCCACCCCTCACACGCTTCGTCGCACCGAAGGCTCCAGTGGCAACATCCGCATGGCGGCACCGCGCCCCCCTCGCGCCCTTCGTGGTCCCGTAGGCGGCTCCGCCGAAGGCCCCAGTGGCAAAGTCCGCATGGCGGCACCGCGACAATTCTGGAACACCCCTCACGCACGTCGTGGCCACAGAGGGAGCTGCGCCGAAGGTCCCTAGGAGCAAAGTCCGCACTGCACTCATTTCGGCACACCCCTCGCGCGCTTCGTGGCCCCGAGAGGGGCTCCACCGCAGGCCCCAGCGGCAAAATCCGCATGGCGGCACCTCGCCCCGTTCCGGGACACCACTCACACGCTTCGTGGCCTCAACAAAGAGCTCCGTCGAAGGCTCCAGAGCCAGAGCCCGCATGGCGGTGCCGCACCCATCTCGGCACACATCTTACACGTTGCGTGGCCCCATGGGGAGCTCCACCGCGCCGAAGGCCCCAGCGGCAGGGTCCGCATAGCGGCACCGCACCATTCCGGCGCATCTCTCACGCGCTTCGTGGTTCCGTAGGGAGCTCCGCCGAAGCCCCAGTCGCAACGCGCCCATTTCGGTTTACCCCTCGCGCGTTTCGTGGCCCCCAAATAAGCTCGGGAGCGGCCAAGAGTGGGGTGTCCAAGATGGGGGGGAGTGCAAATCATGACCGGCGGCATGTGCGCGGCCCAGCGGGGGGGCCAGGGACGTAATGAAAGAAGAAGAGGCGCCATGAAATCTGGGCAAATATCATGGCCCCCGCCATGATATCCACCCCACCCCTAATCATCACCCCCCTCTTTTCCGCCCCCGATAAGCTCCGCCAAAGGCCCCAGTGGCAGGATCCGCACGGCGACGCCGCGCGCATGTCGGCACATCCCTTACACGCCTCGTGGCCCCATAAGGAGTGTCCCCTGACTCGTCCCACCTGCCTCGCGGTACTTACACCTGCATGTGGTTGGGTCCTTCGCCAGAATTGATATTCCCAAAAACGATCTCGAACGGTTGCCGTGCGAATGCGTGCAAACGGTTTGCCTCCACACACAAGCACCAGACACCCGGACCTCAGCCGTGATTGCTTCACGACGTAAGCCCTGGATCTCTGGGCCCCTCCCTTCCCCCGGACAGGTTTTCCGTCGCGGGTAGTATAGAAATCGTTTCCTCTAGGCCTGGAAACGGCCCCCCCTGAGAACGCTACTGTCCGACCAGAAATGCAAGGGCCAGCCATCATGATTCGTTCAAGCGACCACTGGAGGTCTGGGGATCGACCAGATCTGTCTATTCCTTTTTTCATGAACCGACAGCACTTCTTTGGCTTCGGCGCAGCTCGGAACCGTCGATCAACATCGCACCCCTTCCCCCCCTGGAAGCGCGTAACCATCGATCAACGTCGCACTCCTTCCCCCCTGGGAGCGCGTCCTGACCGAACGATCTCAAGGATAATCCAGCCGTGGCGACGGGTACCGCACGTGAGGTCCCAGAGGCCTCCAGAAGTCCGAAGAGGTCCCCTGAGACCCCCAGATGCATCCGGAAGCACAGAAACAAGCAAGAAGGCCACAGACCTCCCGAAGGCCTAGTTCCTCCTCCTCGTCCTCCTCCTCCCCATCCTCGTCCTCGTCGTCGTCGTCGTTCTCCTCGTCTCCATTCCATGAAGGGGGGCCGACATGAGGGAACTAGCTTGAACCAGTCGCCCCCCCCCATGACGCTGCCCCTGGCCTTCTTCCCCCTCCGAGGCTGCATCAAGAAATAGTTGGCAACATCCGAACCCTATCCCCTCCAACCATCGACTCTCCTCAACCGATGGGAGGCGGGTGTAGGGTTAGGATTTCGCCACGTGCTCGACGAATTCCGAACCCTTCCCCCGCCGTCCGTCGATTCGCCAGAATCGTTGATCGGCGAGGGTGCAGTGAAAATTGGTAGTGGGGATGCACGATAAGGATGCAAGGGCCCTGGAAGGCACTGCCGACACCTTTCGAGCGGGGCGCGGCCCGCGAAAGTGGCCAAGGATGGGCCGAAGGGGAAAGATGCAGGGTTGACCTCGGAAAGCCGCTCATCTTTACCATCTCGGCGGCGAGCGAGGGGGGGACGTGAGAAGGTGCGGGCCTTCTCAGAAGGCTCGGAAGTCCCCCAGCCTTCTGAGAAGTTCCTTCAGCCTTCCCCGAAGGCACAGAAAACTTCTCAGAGGGGGCGAGGGCTTCTGAGCAGCCCCGCCGCCTTCTGAGGAGGCCCCTCGCTCGCCGCTGACCGTCAGCGTCGACCGTAAAGGTTTTGGACTCACCATACTCTGAGCACGTGCACAAATGCAGCGCGGTAGAGCTGCAAGGATCCCCCACACCGCCGGATGCGGAGGAATGGTGCCGACCTGTGCGCAGAAGAGAAGGCCTGCGCTCTGCACGCGCCAGGGGGAGCCCCTGGCAAGCGTGTTGCATTCGGGCGCCGGCGGCCGCGAGCGAGAGAGCGTGCCCCGCTTTCTGCATCGCCCGGCTCGCCTTGCCTGGCCCACTCCTCGCCGAGGAAAGACTCGTCAGCCCGCCCAGATCTTGAGCAGGGACCGACCGTCCCGGCATTCCTATAGTCATACCACGAAATGTTCTTAGAACCCAAAAACGTTCTAAAAACAAAAACAAGGTTCTTCTAACGTAAGCCCGATGTGTTAAAACAAGACAGTCCCAGCCAGAAAATGTTCTAAGAACATTTCGTGGGAACCACACAAGGTTCTTTGAAAATTGTTTGGTGGGGCTATAGGCGAGCCAGGACGCTTCGCCACTGCTTGAAGATCGAGAAAGACGGAGGAGGAGGAGGAGGAGGCGGAGGAGGAGGAGGAGGAGGAGGAGGCGGAGGCGGAGGCGGAGGAGGCGGAGGAGGAGGAGGAGGAGGAGGAGCCAGCCCGCCCAGATCGAGACTTGACCAGCGGCCCCGGCGCCCGCTGAGGGCAGGGCAACGGCGGCTCCTCGTCCTCCTCCGCGGCCTTCCGTGCGCTCGGCAGGGCCAGCGCCTCGGACGGGCGAGGGCACCCTCCTCCTCCTCCTCCTGCTCCTCCTGCTCCCCCCCCTCCTCCTGCTCCTCCTGGTCTTCCTCAGCTTCTTCCTGCTTTTCCTCCTCCTCCTCCTCCGATTCCTCCTCCTCCTCCTCCTCGTCCTCCTTCGCCTCTTCCTGCTTTTCCTGCTCATCCTCTTCCTCCTCCTCCTCCTTCTCCTCCAAGTCCTCCGCCTCCTTCTCCTGCTTCTCCTCCTACAGCAAAATGTAGAATAATGAAATAGGGAGGGGAGGACGATTGAGAAATTAGTTTGCCGTTGGAAAAAGTTGTGGAGACCTCAGTGACGACGACGATGACACCCAGATGTACTAGTCATCGCCCAGGCGCTGCTGCGTGCCGCCCCCCCCCATCCGCGGTCATCTCGTGTGACCACAGATTAGCCCCCTCAGACCTCCGACGTCTGTAAAGACCAGGGAGGACCGTATCATTCTCGACCCCATTTGTCGGGAGGCCGCTTCTGGGCGCCAAGACCGTCAGCAAAAACGGCTCGCGATGAGAAGGCGGCTTCATGGAAGGGCTCGGGATTTCTGGGGCGGCCCGCCCCGCAGTGAAAGTGGACAGCCTGAGCGGGAACGAGTCGTAACCGCAGGGCTCACAGGGAAGCGTGCAGGAAAGCACACGAGAGCACACGACGTAAAGCTGCGTGTGCAGACAGCCTGGGGGTGGGAGCATCCTTGGTTTTTCGCCCACCCGCACTGCTTTGCACAGGCCGCGTGCGGGCAGACACGACAGGGCCACCCCACCATCCAAAAAAGGCATACTCGGGATCAAGAGCTTTGCCAATATACGGATGCTGACCGTGACTCGCGTGCTTGATCTTGGAAGCGTATGAACTTCGGGTCCAAGGGTTTTCCGACCGTCCGTTGCACCTGGCCCCGAGCCCTACGGAGATTACCACCCCACTGGAGGATGGTATGAGCGACACAGAGGGAACACAACAGGACACGGCCAGATTGCTGCATCCGGTGCCCGATCGAACTGAACCTTTGCAGCAAAGACGGACGAGAGGCTGCCTCAGCAGGGCCAGGTGTGGGTCCCAAGACCGCGTCAGCAGCAACCAAAGCCACAGGCACCGCCCCAAAGGAAATTGGAATACCTACCTCGTCACGGTCTGCAGAGATAGCGTTCGCCTGCCACCGTTGGGAGGTCGTGGCCCACATACCCTCCTGCTCCCAGACCTCAACTGAGCAACGGAGGCGGGCGTGGTAGCATACCAGTTGCAGACACTGCAGCGCCACTCGCCGACGCCAGGGAAGTGAAACAGCGCGTGCTCCGCCAAAGCCAAAGGGTCCTTACTTTCCTTCTTCGGGGCCGCGCGCACAGGAACAGCACCAGCAGAGGTCGAGACCTCTTGGCTGAGGGCGGCGATGGCCTGCGAAAAGCGAGCCAAAACATCAAACGTGAGCGTAGTAGTCTTCATGTCGGCAGATTTGCATTCAACGGACGTCTTAGCTACAACATGGGGCTCGGAGCCCAAGCTGTCAAAACAATCTTCCCACATAATATTTAGGGAATCCAGTATCTTCGACAAACCGCACGAACAAAAACATCGTCCCACTCACGATGCGAAAAGGCCCAGGAAGAGGTCTGAGTGGGATCGACGTTTCTTGCATCACGCGGATATCTTTCTCCAGACGCAGGCATGCTTAGGGTTTGCTGAAAGCCAGGAAAGGGGTCCCAACACTCTTCTTCTCGAACAGCACTCAAATGGTGGGGGTCTAAGGGGCCAGCCCGCAGCGCCTGGATAGTCGCAAACCGCTCAGCGCGAGGTACCGACTGGCACCGGTCAGGAAGAGCGCCGTGCACGGCGTGGGTCGGGAGCCAGCTCGGAGCCAATTCCACCGCGGACCATCCGCACTGCCCAAGGTCGGGACTGGCGCTGGCCAGTCCCGAACCAAGCCGTCGGCGTATATTCCCTGTCCCCAGCGCGCTTCGGTCGCCCCCCCAGCAGCAAACAGAGAGCACATCGGCGGCAGGCGACAGGGCCACAACGCCAGTCTCAAGAGGGATCCCCTAGAGGAAGTCGGGAGACTCCCAAACCTGGCCACCATCTTCAATACTACCCTTGTCCGGAAGCTCAGACCTTGCGCTCCAAGACGTCCTGGGGCATGCACTGGTCTTGTGATATGGGGAAGTCGCGCGCAAAATCGCAATCATACAGTTGATGTCCGAGAGAGCCGACAACATTTTCATCGCAGAGCTGCCGTTTGTCGCTGTCGTCATATCCCACCGCGGATTTACGAGAGGAAGGCCACATAGCACCACCGATCACACACCGAATGGCGCCTCTCCTAGCGTGATCATAAGCCCCGAGCGTCATCTTGATCACAGCATGTCTCAAGCTCCGCATCCACACGCGCTCCGTGCCAATCGCCTCTGGAATGCGTTGTTGCAGCATGCATTTCGCCTGCCACCCTTGTACGCCCGCGTGAAGCTCCTGCTTCGCATCCCGCGGTCACACGCGCAACCGGTCGAATGGAATGGTTCCCTCAGACGCCAACACATGAGCAGCTGACATGTCCCATCCTGCGCGACGGAGCGAGATGGGAACGGCGCTTATCGGGCCCATGCGCGGGCATTGATCTTGTCCCGACTGGCCATCCAGTCCTTTGCAATCGGGCTCGAGGGAACCAACTGCCCCGTCTGATCCGTGCGCACCTCTGAATTAAAGGGACCGCGGCGTCAAACATGGAATCCAGAAAAAGGTCGGGAAGGCCGGGCACGCAGGCCGCGAGGGATCCCGACCGCTTCGCGCCCGCCATGGCTCCAGCCAGCGACCTGAGAGCCACGGGCGCAGGGTCGGCCAGCCCACTCACTCACCCCAGCGCCGTGCCCAGCAGCGGGCATCGCGCCAGCCATCTAAAGCATTTGAACTTGACCTGGGGCACCTCTCCGCAGCGCCGCGAGCCTGCCGCGCCGTTTTGAAACCTTGCCGAGTCTAGCCTGCACCAGAGCACTAGAAGGCCGGCCTGCAACGAATTCGCGCCCGAGGTTGCGCACGTGGGATAGCCGCGCAGCTTCAGGATGCGGGCAGACGGCGACGCTCTCGACGACGCTATAGCAGCAACGGCCGCGCACCCACTTATAAAGCTTGAACCAGATCGAACCTGAACGCTTGCTCACAGTACAATCGCAACGCTGCCATCGGAACGCTGCACTCGCCCAAATGCTTCCCTACCCACTGGAAGCGAGAGTCATCCATAAGGGCACGCGGCTGCACCGCCCTGTAGAGTCGGCACAGTCGAGAGACAACCCTATGCAAGAGCACATGAGTCATAGAGTTAACATGGATGCATTCAGCGAGTATCCCTCGGTGCGAAATCACACAGACCGACGCGGGCCCGAATGCCTGAACCAGCCGAGGTAAAAGGGGGTGCTTGAGCGCGCCGGCTTCATTTAGAACTTTAGACACAACGGTGCACTCGTAGCTGAGCACGCCAAGAAAAACGCGAACCGACTGCGCCCCCACCGCCGCAGCCGCCTCCGCCTCCACATTATGATCGCACGCAGAGTCTGGGGAGCTGACCGCTGGGCCGCCCCCCCAGAATGCGCGACGTCGGCGGGGGCGCCCCCGCTCCTCCGAGATCGGCTTCCTCGGCCGACCCCAAGTCCTCGGCAGCGAACTCAAAAGAGCGATCAAGTGGCGCCCGCTTGAAGGCCCCCCCAAGCGCGCGAGCCCCGTCCGCAAGCGGCCAGACGGCAACGCAAGCAGGGCCTCGCAGCGCGTGAAGAGCGATCCAAGGACGGCGAGCCCGCTGTCGGAGACGGCATCGAGAGCACGAGGATTGAAGGCAGAATGCCCCAGCGCCGGTCGCGCGGGCACCTCCCGCATTGCCCCCCCGACGCCGTGCAACTCAAGCGCGAGCAGGGCGGCCCACGCGGCGGAACCCCGGGGCAACTCCTCGCGGCAGCTACGCGCACTCCACATTTCCTTCCAATCGGCCAAACAATCGCCAGCGCGCTGAAATTGGCGCGGTCGAATCGGGTCGGACACGATCCCCCCCGCTGCCCCTTGAGTCGCGAAAGCGGCGTGCTGCGCGGGCCCCTGACATGAAGGCCTTCTCGGCCCAGGACCGTCACTCCGCGTTGGGTTCGTTCGTGCATGCCTGGGTCTGGCCCTGAAGATCATCGATTAGTATTTGCACGAAAATATCAAAGCCTGGGTGGGCAAGACTGGATGCGATGTCTATTGGAAGACCTCGGTCCTGGTCAGTCACCACCTTCAGCGCTCACTCACTGCATGAAGCTCTCTTCAGACACACGATTAGGAAGTGCATATGCTTGGAGAGGGCCATGACAGTGCCATCGCGACTGCCATCGTGCAGCGCGGCTAGCGCAGCTCATAGCTTCACGCGAACAGACCTTGCATGCCTGAGCCATCTCGACGCGACGGTCCAGACGGCGACCTTTCACTTGAACCTTGCTGGTCCAGCGTGGCCATGATGCAAGAGTCTTTCATTCTGGGCCATGATGTCATTGCGGCCATGCAACTCCGCGTCGAATCCAAGCAGCACAGCATCCCAACACTGCGAAAGGTCACTCGGAGACTTAGCTGAATCGATGCCACTGCTTATCATGTTCCACTCGCGCACAAGGAGATACCTACAGCAAGCCCTGGGCCCAACAGGGAGAGGCGTCGGCTCGGCTGCAACGCGGCAGCAGACAGAGAGAGAGAGAGAGAGAGAGAGAGAGAGAGAGAGAGAGCGAGAAAGAGAGATAGAGAGAGAGAGAGAGAAAAACAAAAAAAAACAAAACAAAACAACAAACTATTTGTTTTAAGAGAGAACAAAACACATAACGAACAACATACAGGGCGATGCGGAACACATCTGCATCGTCAATAACCGACGTACCTGAGAGACTGGGCACCAACGACTCGAAGAAGTCGTAGGCGGTACCAGACGAGGTCTGCTCGCGCGCGGATTCCGTCTCGGCCACTCCGACACCGCTCGTGGAGTGGAGC